TACCATAATCACGTGAAGACAAAGTTTAAGTAACAACGTGATCTCATTTAGAAGGCTTGAACTAGATGATATACCGAATGATGTCGAAATAGGGAAACTAGCTATCCAAAATAAAGTGTACTGTCCAGAAGATTTGTGATTACTTAGTTTAACTTAACAAGAAGTCAGTGAGATCCATTACAGGATTAGTCTAATTTTCTTGATAACATAATTTGAGAAATAATCAGTGGACATTAGTGAAAAAGTAATAGTTTCTTGCTGAATATTCAAATAATGTATAAAAATCTATTCTGAGAACAATAAACTATCCAATCTACATCTTATGGTAAAAATTGTTCCCTGTACTATGGATAACACTTTAGTTATTTTATTTCACAAAATCAATCTGATCAAATTCGTGCATTGATACACGTTAAACTAACTAATTTATTAAAAATATATTAGAATAAGTGAACTAAATTATTATCTACTGATTGTTACATATGTGTGTAGTAACATATATATAAACTATAGTTTATTAATGATTACATTATATCCGTTTCGTAACACAAACATCAGTGCACTTAATCACTAGAGCCGATATCTTGACAGTGCTTGGATTGTTAGATAAAAACATAATGTCAGATGACGTTCAATCTGAAAATGTATTTCTTCATTTTAATATCAAATGAATTATTGTATGATACAACACCGAAATGGGATTTTTACAGTCAAATCCATAGCTATGCACTGATTAATGTTACACCGTCATAAATACTAAATATATTAGACATATACTGTTATCTTGAGATATTATTTATATACTATACATTTCATACATATCTAATCAACACTAAAGGTTGTAGTATAAGAAATAAGCTACCATATGATGATTGATTGTATTTCTGAATCAACTTCCGAGAATCCTTATTCACGTAATTAAATAACTAATGGTATTTCATGTGCTTATAATCAAAATGAAACTATTATACACATGATACGCATAACTGACATTAACATAGGAAAGAATGAAAAATAATAAGCATAAGGTTATATATATATATATATATATATATATATATATAGAGAGAGAGAGAGAGAGAGAGAGAGGGCGAGAGACGAAAATAATTTTTATTCAGACAACTATATTTGTAATCAATCAGATTTAATTTTCTTAAAAGCTATGCGCTAAACAGTTAAGTTACTAACAGTTTCTGTTAAATTGACCTATATCTGAGCAAATTAAACATTTTAAACTAAATAGATAACACTCATATTTATATGTATCTTCATAGCTATTAATTACGAATGCTAATTATTTACTGACTAAAATAGTAATATTGACAAGTTGTATTTGTACTTTCAACAATTAATAAACTGATATCTGAAAGCAGACAATATACAATATTTCTGAAGCTTTTCATTTTCAGAAAAGAAAATTATATCAATCTAAATGAATGAATAGTGTTTACATGTTTACATGTCTGTCTTGTAACAATGAAGAAAGGCCTTTATTAGTTACTTAATATAACAATATGATATATTGTTGGATCAGGAACGAGAACTTTAAAAAATGGTTAATGTTATATACATGTTACTATGTAAAAATGGTGTGCCATGTATGACATTTTTATGTCCGTCCAGTTTTTAAATAAGACGTTTAAAAGAATGATTTTAAATAGAGAGGCCGGTAGGTAAGTTTTGTATTTTCAAAGCTGTTTAAGAAGTTTTAAAGATATATGCTGTTTAGTTATTTTCTATACTCCATGCTTATTAAACTAAATTATGCATCTGTGAAGGGAATATTTATCCAAGTACAGTTGGTTGAGCTGCGACATAATAATTGTTAAATTATAAGACTGAAATAGCCTTATATTAAAGCGATTAGTCCCTTTGATAAATTTCGAAGATTATCAGAATTATGTGATATATTAGCTCAATAATTTTCGAACAATCTGATCACACATATGCTTGTTAAGAACATTTATATATAAAAATAAAAGGTCAACTGAACTAGAAATGGAGGGTAAGTGGAGACAAGGATAATAAAGAAATAATGTGAAAACAAGTGGAAAAATCATCATTCTAGATAATAAGCTAAATGATTGTTATATCCGAACGAAGAATAAATGAATGGTAACTGCTGGGAATTATTTATGGACTATTACAACAAGTATTTTAATGGATAATTAATAAGTAACTATATAAAATATTTTCATTTGATCTATTAGCTATTATTACTTGATCGACTATTCTTAAGTTATTCACAATCTGTTAATTAAAGTCTCTCACACTCACAGCCACTTTTGGCTTGATCATGTATGACCGTTATTTTCTATTTTATAGTGTGATAAGGTTTGGTTTACTTGTACATAAACGCGTGTCTTAAATATATGATTCATACAGTGGAGGATGAGATTGTGTTCTAGACTAAATGGGCAGGGCTAGGCGAGAAGAACCGTTAAGGACTCAGAGTTGATCCTAGGATTCTCGTGCTGGTTGGCGCGTCATTGGTTTCGAGCGGGGACAAGGTCGTATAGGTCGGTGTTCTAATTGGTGACCTTGTCATGTGATAATTAACAGGGCATAAGTCATAACAGATTAAATGTGTTATTCCTCTATGTCTCTTACGAAAACGCCTTACAACCTCATTTTACATTCTACAGGAAGGGTTTATACTTATATCAGTTTGAATTATAGCTGTTCCAGTTGCAATATTACATGAGGTGGTCAAAAGAACTATAATAATGATCTATATGATATGAAAAGCTCAGATAACTGAGTGAAAATATCCATAATTGGTCATCTATTGTTTGTGTTAGAGTCATTAGTGATATTGATCCTTCTTTTAGATTTGTCAACTTATCGAGCACGAAATCTAAAAGCTTGGTTGTTACAATGTACAACAATACAAGCACAGAAATTGGAAAATATCTGAAAAGCAATAGTGGATAATATAATTATGTGAAGTGGTGGATATTGTTGATTTTCAGTCAAATCATGAACCGATCAATATTAGACCACCATTGAAAACCTGGAAGCACTGAACGGCTGTTTCGTCCTAGTATGGAACTCCTCAGTAGTATGCATCCATGATTCCTCCTGTGGAATCTGTTCATGATTTCAATGACGTCCGTTTTTAATTTACATACATTGATAATTAACATTTTCCCGGAAGGAGGCTGAATCATTGAATTATGTTTAAGTAATCAACATTTAACTAGAGTCTATCACGTGATCTAGTGATCAAAATGGTACAAAGAAATATGCGAATTGTTACTGTTCAAATAACATTGTCTGTTAAGTAAGTTAATTAAAGGACTTAACCAAAATTAACCATAATCGAAATTGATTGTAGGATAGTTGCTATAAGGCAACTTAAATATACTGAAATGCTATTTAATAATCCATTCGTACATCTACTAGAAAAGCTATTAACCTCCACCTGAAGGTCCAATTATTTCGCTTTTTTGACTGCAGTCAGATTAACTACATATGGAAAGTGCAAATTCATATTAGTTGACTTTATGATTTTGACCGAATATTAATGGCTGAAATAAAATAATGGATGCAAGTCTTTATATTAGTACACAGCATCGTAATTAGTGTCACTGGTTGAAATTATCCATGACAGGATAGCTCTACGAAAAATAGATATGTTGGGGATGTTGGATCCCAGGAATTCACTTGGTAAATACCTTAGTTTTGTAGTTCTATTTTGAAGATTTGAATTTCTCGTTTTCGCGCCAAAAGCGCCCATTTTCACCTTCATATCGTATTTCCCACTTTGGAGGATCTTAAACGCTATTGGTTCGTTGTATCTTTTAGTATGCTACTTCGTAACGCTTCCCAACGACATTTTTGTGCTGTTTATATATACGCTTTAGTTGTTCTTGTTGTTGTTGTTGTTCGTGCTTCTGGCTACTTGTGGAATATATATTTCCCTCTTCCGAACTTGGAATTCTCTATCTAGTTAGCGAGGATGGGACGGATCGGAATAGATAGCTTATTGGTCATTGTGTCACAGAGTCTTCGTTCCGTTCTCAGATTAGGTGAACTAGTAATTTCTTCAAACAGAACAAGTTTTTTTAAGCTGTAAATCTATGATAAGTTATAACATCTTTTTATTGTAACAAATAGTGCTTAGTGGCTTTGTCATTTATGTCATTCATGGTCTGACTCAAAGAAACTGTAAAGAAAGATGCAAATGATCATTTAGGATATGACACATGAGGGACTCTTACTTATAATTAAACTCTACAGCCGTAAGTTATCGAACTTTCATTTTATAACCAGAAGTGCATTAGTGATTCCAGATGATTACAAGTTGCAATCTGCCTACAAGCCTGTGGTGACCAATCGTGAAATCAGTGAATATAATAGAATATACGATTCAATGTAAACAAGCTTTTCTATCGTTAGCTTAACATATCCGACACTACAGACGTTTAACGCAAACTGTTTTTCTGAACATGTGAAAGTAAAGTCAGTAATGAATTAACGTAATAAAATACTGTTATTTGGTAACAGAACAAAGGATGCCTCTTCAATGATGACTGACAGTTTATGTAACTCAGTTGTTGCATTAAGAATACGGAAAAATAAAAAATAACGTTTACTGGACATACTAGATGAATGCATTCTCTCACACTTGAACACGGCAAGCATCACCGTACATGAATATTCATTGTTATCTTTTATAACCAGCTGGAACAATATGTAACTGTGTCCTTTAAATTGGTATAAACGCTATACACTGTGTTCTCTCATTCTGTTGTAGTGGAATTAGGCAATCATTTTCATATTCCTATTTTTCCAAGTGTGCTGAAACATATTCACGATACCTCGTTTGAAACATTGTTGTATTCACTGAACGATTTCCCAACGCTTATCAATTTCTTGATCACCTGATGAAAACTTCCATAATCTGACAAAATATGAAAAAACCACATATACCTTTTATAATTTTATTTCTTAGATTTATGCAATCATTGATTTTAATTGTTTTATTGTATTTTCAGTCCATATAATTCATTATTGCAGTAGGATAAGATCGAACACTTATTGTTGAACTCTCTATTTTCAATTCATTCTCGTTTAAGCAACGAAATCAGTCAACGTTAATTGCGCCGAAGTTTGAGGCAATGTAATATAGAGAATAACAAATAACATTTTTTGTCCACAACGTTTCTTCACATTTTTGTAACTAACGGTAAGAAATTTTAACAGGAGCAATGTTTGAAGCACTGCAAAGTACCTCAGCAATTTAACAAGAGCAAAATATACATTCCAACTAGCCGTGGAAAGAATCCAGACCATAAATAACGATTAACAAGGTTCATGTCCAACAGCAAAATTGAAAATCAAGAAAGTAACTTTCATTAACAGTTAAAAACATGATTCCCCAAAAATATGGAAACTGACCACAGCGAGATAAACAATGGAACATGTTTTTCATTTCATAAAACCAATACACCAACGTTATAAACTCAGTTATTGATACAAGTTTAGCAAATACAGAGACCACAATCTGTGATGAAACTACAAATCAAACAAAACAAAACGCAGAACGAAATACAGTATCCATGATGACCTACAGTAATGAAAAAACTGGCTCCCATTCCGCCTTCAGAGTATTGATATGATCGGTTGCTATGATGAATGGCGGGAACATGCAATATAATTCCACTCCAAAAAGCTAAATGTGAAAATTTAAGATTGCTGGTCGGTAAACTAGTTTATAAAGTGTAGTAGGAATGACAAACTGTATAAACGACTTTATTAAGGTAATCATATACTAGTGTGTTACACGTTCAATATAAGAATTTAAATGTTCACTGACGATGGTCAAAGGAATGCCAACGATCGTTTGCCAGAGTACAAAACATAGTTCAAAACATAGTCCACTGTATCCCTGAATTAGAAATTGCGGTAGCAGCGGACAACTCAAATTATGGCATTGAAGCGACTATTTCACATGTGTTTCCCGATAGTACAGAGAATGCCATTTGTCGTGCTTTACAGATACTAACTCCGGCAGACGTAATTGTAGTTGAATCGAGAAGGAAGTACTTGCACTAGTTTCACAAAATGCTTCATGCTCGGCGTTTCACACCGCTTACAGACCATAAACCACTTGTAGAGATTAAAAAAGAAATTGCAGTTTACACAGCAAAGCTCCTCAAAAGATGGATTATCACCTTACTGGGCTATAATGTCCATATCGAGGATAAATCTACAAGTTCTTTTCGTTATATCTAATTATCTTTGAAAATTAGTCTTGAAACTTATACACCCGTCCTGTCTTACCATGAGTCGCACAAAATCAATAACCCGTGCTTATGTATACGGGCTAAATGTCGATGAAGATATTAGAGAAATGGCAGAACGATGTAACTATTGTGCACAGCCATCTGAACTACCCATTAAAGATCAACCTCAACCATGATCAGCATAGGCAGGACCTTAGTCAAGCCCTCACATAGATTTTGCCGTAACGTCTCAGGGTAGGCAATTCCTGATGCATTTTTAGAATGGCCAGAAGTCTTCGTAATGGTCAGTTTGCCTACCAGTGCCACGATGCAAAAATTTACAGAAGTATTTAATTGTTTCAATCTACTATATACTATTGTTTCTGATAATGGAATACAGTTCACTTCAATCTAGTTTGATAAATTCTGCAGAAAAAACAGTATGAATTATGTTAAGTCTACTCCATAACACCAATCAAATGGTCAGACGGATAGTTTTGTTGATTCATTAAAAAGGACTATTTAAAAAGAAGAGGTAGGGACGGTAGGCGAAATGATACAAAGGTTCTTGCAAAGTTATTGTTCAACATTGTATCCAGTAACAGTGGATGGATTATGGTTAGCAGCAAATATGTTTGGGAGGATCTGATAGAAAGATTGAAAAAAATGAAAATAAAGAAGCCACAGTCCAAAAGTTTTCATTCAGGTGAAGCAGTTTGGATGTGGGTTTTCCGCGATTCCATACCACAACGGGCAAGTGGAACAATAGAAATAAAAACACTAACAGTTATGTATGAATTGAAAGTAGGAGAATTCATATGAATGGGTCGCAGTAATCATATTTTTAAAAAACGAGACTGTAAAAACGTTGCACCTACTCAAGAGTTGGGAAACTTGCCAGGAGATATGTTAGTAGACAATCTATATAATGAAAACTAACGGGATCCTTGGGCACAAGCACTCGACCAGCTGAGAAGATCCCACAGGGTGCGAATAAAAACAACAACCTGTCGAATGAACTCTCTACAGAAATCGTACTCCTACATATTCAATTAAAAAACGGGAGGTGATAAAATGGGATGAGAAGACGATATCACATTTTTTGATTCATTGTGATTCATGCCCAACATTACTTCCGTTTTTAATTGCATATGATGATTATTCATAGTAATATCTGTTTTTGGTCTCCAGTGTTATATTTTATTTGGTATAATATTAATTTATTTGAGTATGATGTTATTTCAACATACAATATTCTTGTATAAAATTAACGTGAACTACATTCATTATGATAACATACGATTTTGTTGTAACTCTGGAAATCTTTTATATAAGGTTTTTTAAATTCTAATTAATAATCAAAATAAGTGTCCAATCGATATATTGAATGTATTTTCAACCAGGATTGTCGTATTTTTGGATTTAATAAATCTTCACTTGTACCAGTTTTGGTGTTGTTACTATGCATCATGGGATTTGCAGTGGTTTTCGTCTTTTCAAGTATAATTAATAAGCGACGCAGATACAATACTTACACAATTGTGAAACAAACAATTATTCTTAACTAGATTAATATAGAATAGATGAAATGTGCTTAGGAGTAGAATGCAAACCGTACGTTTCATCTGACTAAAACTGATCAAATTTTAATCAAAAATATCATCCAAACCATTTCAATTTGAATTTATTTATAAATCATAATCCCTTGATAAATACCATTAAAGCGAAGAACAAAATATTTGCAAAATAAAATGAATTCATTATGTTTCAAGACTTCTCATCAGCTGCAAACGGAATAAAATTACAATAGAAACATTATTACAAGAAATGTTATTGCATATCAAAATCAAAAGAGTTTAGTTCTAAAGGACTTAAGAAATAAGGGACAGCAACATATTTAACATGATAGTTAAAACTGATAAGTATTTACATGTTGAAGATGAAATCATGGAAATAAAAGGAAAAGGGGTATAAAGTTGTAAAGTAGTAATGAATAGGAACGAATTACTAAGAAAGAAGTAATAATCAAGGCATCTATTTAACATTAAATTAAATTTAACGTCTTAAGTGAGTATCAGTGGGATTTTTTACTCTGAGTAATGAACCACGCTAAAGAGATAATGTAATTAACAAGCGTTAAAATAATAGAACTTTCTTACCATAGTATTCGTGAGTGTACAACACTTTCTTTCTGTATGCAAATGTCAGATGGAAAAGCTTGATGACGTTGGCTATTGCAAAAGGGAAGAAATTTGATATGTTGTTTCGAATGCTTACTATTTCATTTTCAACATATAAATACTTGGTGTTGTTTACTTGTATCTTCCCATTGTTATTTAGGACTACAATTGATCAGTATCTTAATGGTATATGTGCATACTGTGTGTATTACATCGATATTGCCCTAATTCACAAGCATTTCGTCCTATTCGGGACTCGTTGGTTGAATGTACCTGCATCTCAGATTTGATGTTCACGCTGTGAATCGAACCCAGCACTACGATAGCCACTTGCAATCGGTACATTCAGATACATGCAGGTACATCCAGCTGGCGAGTCCCGAATAGGACGAAACGCGCGTCCTGAATTCCACTCTCAGCCACTATCCATCTTTGCTTATAAATACTTATCAGTTTTAACTATCATTTTATACATGTAGTTATCTCTTATTTCTTAAGTCCTTTAGAAATAAGCTCTTTTGATTTTGATATGCAATAACATTTCTTATAATAATGTTTCTTCAAAATTTGAAATATTCCCATATTGTTAATTTAGAACAACATACATTAGCGAACAATATTGTTTTCGATTAGATCCTCATCAGGCGTGACCTTTTCCTAACCACGAAGGGAGGTGTTCACTAACTCGTTGGTTCAGTTGCCTGGTAGTGCGCCCAATACAGTCACACCATCAATTGGTACTTTTCATATTTCACTTATTATGTAATCGTTTTCATTGTTATAATTGACTTATAAACTACCTTGATTGGTTTAATAATTTCGTATATGCATATAAATATTGCCGTATATTAGAGTAAAGCCTGATGAGGATCTAATCGAAAACAATATTGTTCGCTTATATATGTTATTCTAAATAATGTTTCTATTGTAATTTTATTCCGTTTGCAGCTGATGAGAAGTCTTGAAATATAATGAATTCATTTTATTTTGCAAATATTTTTCTTTTTGCTTCATTTAAATTTATTCAGTTTCGTCTTGTTTAATAACCTACACAGGAATGTTTTAAAATATACTTATTTTGATAAATATCTCTTCAAAGCAATTAGCCCCTTTGATAAATTTCGGTAGTGTAATGAGAAAACGAAGGTTATCAGAACTATGTGATATGATTGCACATACTAAGGTTTATTGAAGCCTTGGCTATACGGAAACTGAAACCCTAATTATGTGTTCAAAAACATTTTGTTCATACACTTAACCTACCCTTGTAATACTGACTTATTATCTGGAGTTCTTTTCACAGTGTTTTTGTGTACATTATTATTTGTTACTTCCACTTACCTTTCAACTTGTCTAGTTGACCTATTATTTTTCATATGAAAATGTCTTAAAAAGTATAGGTATGATCAGATTGTTCGAAATGTATTGTGGAAATATATCACATAAATCTAATAACCTTCTCATTGCATTATCGAAATATATCTTTGTTTATGTACATTCAGCTTTCGTTCGTTTATTGTAAGAAATAAATTCTGTCAAGAAACAAATGATACTCATGTCATAGACTATATCACGTATGGAACCAACTAATTCATTCATTATTTAGTTGATACATCCACCGATATATATATATATATATATATATATATATATATATATATATATATATATATATATATATGTCAATTTGTGTGTCAGTCGTTTAAAAAAGTAACAACTCTAAAAGACTAGACTTACGTTTTGTGATTATTGTCAGAAACGATTTATACAAATCTATGCAGTAATGAACGATTTCTTCACTAAGATCACGAAGCGATCAAATTTAGACAACCACTGAAAACTTGGGATGACTAGACAACTGGTTCGTCCTAGTATAAGACTTCTCAGCTGTAGCCGTCCATGACTGAGTGACAGGGAATCGAACCGAGGTTCTTCGGTCTTTCGCTCAAACGTTTAACCTCTAGACCACTGAATTGAAATCCACTGGTGTGCAATTCCAAGTTCAGTCAGTCCATAGCATTGAGTAACTATCTCCTGTTATCTTAGTTGGGTAACTCCCTGAGTTACTCGATCGTGGATGAGCACTGTTGAGAAGTGCCATATTGAGACGAATCGACAATCTATTCTTTCCAGGTCTTCAATGGTTTTCTAAATCCAACTGATTCGTTAATTCAATGAAGAAACTCAAAAATCTCACAACCTCATACTAATAAAAAGAACAAGAATTTCCATTTCATAACTAAATTCACATACTGTAGTAACAAATTATGTGCTGAATAAAATACGTGATCAATTGTGCTTTCGTGTTTTTCATAACATACTAAAGCATTTTTAAACCTACCAGATAACGAGCGCAAACACTCTGCTCCTATTCAAGTCTTATAGAAAATATATTTCGTTTTTCATAATCAAGTGTTGTTAACTACGTTGACAAAAGAAAGTGAAAAGAAAACATATCAACAGAAGAAACTATCACATGAAATAATTCACACATGAAAAAGAATAGTTACATCACAAAACCAAATGCTTTCACTACAGTTACAGCTAACACAAATTATTGCCATAACTTATTTCAGGACAATTGTTGACAATCTGTTCATAAATAATTCTAACTATACTTGATAATAAATAACAATAATAACCGTAGTAATAATAATTGCATTTTCTTTTAAAAATGTAAACTGAATATTTTTATGATTTAAAAATGGGTACTTTATTATTGATCCAATTATTGATTGCTTAGTGACAGGTACACTTTTAATAAGAATACGTACTATGTAAGTAATGTTCATTTATGAATAATAGTATAGTTGTTCAAGTATTTTTAATTACTATAGTATCCTATTAAAAAAGATGGATTATGAAAGAATTTTAATAACTAATATGTTCTAATTCTGTGAATATTTAAGATGTGTATAGTTTTCATTGAAACATTGTTTTACATTATGTTTATTGACAGATAGAATTTCATATCATTTCAGTTGTGAAGTAATTTTGCTAGATGGTATAACTTTTATAAAAGCTTTGAAAAAAAAGAATTAAATTTAGACAATTTAATCACCAGACTTAATGATTGATTGAAATCAGCGACATGACAATACGTTTTATACTTTGAACTAACTCTACATTAGACCATAGTATTAAGTAGTTGGAGTACCAGTATTAATTCATCTTATATCAGACAAATATGTATTTTGATGTCAGGTTACTTTACTTAATAACCTCATTGAAGTGATCGATTGAATTTAATGAACAATAAGTAGACGATATAACAGTGGTTAATATTCAGTGATCAGTGTTCTACACATTTTTACACAGCTTTATCAACATTAAATCTATGGCGAATTATTTTTCAGCTAAGTCTATTACTATTTCACTATTTATCATATCCCTTACTACCCAATCTATTCGGCATATGAGAAAAATAATGAAATAGAGTAAAGTTGTATTCGTCTAGCGAAACGGATTTTTTAACGATTCAAATCTATAATACAGTGTACATGTTGACAAGGTAGTTAGATTTATGTTTTGCAATCAATTAGAAAAAATATTGGACGATTGTTGTTAGCGATTCAGTGACAATGCCACTAAAACTAAATTGAATATATATATATGCGATGAAGTTAACTATTTGATGCATACTTATGACTTCCGAGTATGATTACAAGACATTAGTTATTCATATTCATTGAAAATGCAACTGAATATCAACATACAATTCATTTTAGGTTTAAAAATATGAAACTATTGAGCATACTAAAACACACTAAAAACCGTTTGTAGTAAATGTAAAGGAAGTTTAAGAACTTAAACTTACCACTAATTATATTTTAAAAAACTTTTCAATGTCAAATAATGTTATTTTGAAGAAGAGCAATCACCGTTGATCATCATTAAAATGACAAATACAATTCAGTAACCTAATTGTGATTGCTTATTTCGGAAATTGTTATAAATCAATTCGAAACGAAATTCAGCCAACCATGGTGATTGTTAATGACATTATGATATCAATACATACACCACTTTGATAATTCTGTATATGTCGCATAGTAACAGCCAGTTCAACTATAAAACGCGAATCCTGTTTATAAATGTCATACTTCACTGAGTTCTGTCAAACAGGAGCATTTAGAGATTGTTTCCTGATCTCATGTTTTGTATTTATGTTTTGGTTCATTTCAAGCTGTAAACTATGCTGTTCAGTTAAATCTGTTGATCCTAAGTACGATCAACTAACCGCACCATTGAATGAACCATTTCAGCTACTGTTTCAGTCATTTGTATATTGTTCAGTATGATTTAAAGCAGATTTATAATTAGTTTCCAAGACGTATTTCGAAATTTCATGTTTTTTCTATTATTCTTGAGAACTTTGTAAGTGCTTTTTATATAGAGAGTATCCCAACTAAGTAAGTAGCTAGAATCCACTGCTTATTGTGAATTTATGTTATTGAGGTTTATCAAACTAAGACAAAACCACAGTTCAACGGTTCCTGGTATTCGGCGGCTTCTCAGCTGAAGTCTATTTTTGGAGAAAGCCACAGTCACATTATTAACTGCCGTGATCTTATTTATTTCAAAATTCGGTGAACAATAAACTACATCTTATTTACGATGGTCCTTACAAAATCTCTATTAATAAATGACGAATAACTATATAAAGTCATACTGTAAAGTTTTCACCTGCAATTTCGAAAATTTTGTACAAATTGTATACATAGCTTACTGATGAACATTTTACTAATCCAGAGTTTTTGAACTCAGAGTAATAACTGATTTTAACGATATCGTTTAGCCAAATTTTCCTGAAACTAGGATTAAACACAAAAAGGATTTAGATATTTCTAAATTCGAAACAGTTTAATGGCCCTGAAATATCTGACTCCAACTTGATCGTGTGATTTTCGTTATCGACTTGTGCATATCACCAATCCTCTCATATAATTATCGACTTAACTCGCGTTAGTGAATAGTGGAATTGAATAAGTCAAAAACGAGAATGCGTATGTTTCATACAATCGTTGCTCTGAATAGACAATCAGGGAGATGGAGAGAAACGAAACGGATTGGAGAAGGAATATTAGCTAACTCATTTTAACCAAGCGTGAATCGATATTTATAGTCAGACCAAAAATAAGTTACAGACAAATAATAAGTAGGGTAATTAATTAGCACACATACGATCACATAAATAGTCAAGGTTCATAAGCGAATAACTAACATGGTCAAAACGTAACTCAGGAACAATGAATAAATTGGCCTGTCCGGAAGCTAGAATGAGTTATATGGGTTTTTAATAGCAACTAACACTACAACAGCGACCAATAAAATGAATAAGCTATAAAGGAACTGTCCAGCGTCCTCTTGATAAATGTCACTATTATGACTGTAGGACGCTTAACTGACTTGTGCTTCGTACTATGATCTGAGTTCAACATTTCCTAGGGAGAACATACGACTAGTAATATAGATTCATCGGGCACAGGAAATGAACTGAAATGACACATGCATACACTTATTTGAACATTGATTTTACTCAGACATGATTAGTTTACAATCCTCACGGTTAAGGGAAGCATTCAGAAAAACTACAAAAACTCAAGCTATATTTCATACTGAATTAATTCAAAGAATATTATCTTAAATGAACATCATTCTGGAAGACAACAACATCATAACAAAATATCATGCTAAAAATCCGATAGATATAACACTGAGTAATCATAATATTAAATTTAAACGGAAGTAATATTGGACAAAAATCATAATAAGTTTACAACTTGATTTTGCAAAGTTACCCTGTTGTATCAGTAATAGAGTAGACATAAATCGTAGTGTTAAGCTGCAAAAATCATAAATTCAATTCTATCTAACTCAAAGATGCTTCTGTGGCTATTTAAGAAGACACTTATTTACTGAGTTACATGTAGTTAATAAATTTTAACTGCATTACAATAGACTTGGCTAAGTGAAATTCATAAGTAATACTACAACTCTTCTAAACAAATCCGAAAATTCTTCAAAAGAAATACGATTAAATTTATCTTACCATTCTTCACAATCTTTTGTTGATAATTTGTAAAAATTCTAATTAAAAGCAGGTAAACTTCTTTAATTAGATAAGATTATCACTAAGTTTGTGAACGTCTTTAAAAATTTCCAGCCAGTGACTATGGATTGTTATCATGAATCAACATGATCTACTACATTTAATTATTCTTTTTCACTAATCTATGAATAACACACAAATACGATTTTCAAGAATTTAGCTTACATTTGAAAAATGTACGAAGTACATCATGTAGTCGTATGTATTGTGCAATATTAATGAATTGTTTTTTGAGTGGTTACTGCTCGAAATAAAATGCTTCATACATACAAAGTAGATTATTTGTTCTTGATAACAAACTCATGTATGAGATTGTTTCTTTGTAAAATATCTAAAACGTCTATTAGACACTACTTTCACATAAACTAAATCATAACAACAGCTTCAGAATACATCTATCATTGAAGTTATTAACGTACATCCGTTTCAGTTTTTTTATTTGATTAATTATACAGCGAACAGTCATAAAGCAGTAGTTGTAGTTTTATTTAAAGATTATTTGAATTATTTCAATGGAAGATGCAACTGCCCTATCTGTTTGTTCATTTGTTTTATTTGGTTACGTCATATTTTCATGATTAAAGTTATTGTTAATAGAAAGAAATCCCTGTGTTTAAGTGTTCTAGAACAGTTGAAGATTTTAATGCTGTCATTAAATGAAAACATTTGTGTTTCTTCAGTCACTCAACAACTTTTATGTTGAATAAAATGTCAGGAGAGGACTATGATCATATTCCGAAGAGATTTTATTTATCGTTTACTTTTATTGTCTTAAAAAAATTGATTATTCTGTTAAACTTATTAACGGGCCATATTTATTTTGCATACTGAAATTATTTTAGTGAACATCTTCTTTCGTGGTTAGGAAAGGGTACTGTCAAAACAATACACAGATCTGTTCTATTACACTTAATCGATAGCGGCGATGCAGTTTACAGAACTAGGTCATTTAAAGTGATTTATTGTATTCTTACTAATTTTCCTTATGAGGTTCGGTCTTGTCTCATACTCATAGCAGAAGCTATGGGAATTCGAACTAACAACCCAACTCCCTGCATGCATAAGAAATTTGTGACAACTTTACCTCTTCCTTAGCCGATTTAGACTAAGTAAAAGATTTTATTATTTTCTATACTATTTGTTCGTTTATTTTTCATCACCTTTGACCCTTTTTTCCAAATATATGCTTCATTGTCCAATTATCTGAACAGTTCTTATTAGGTGATCTTAAATCTTTTTATGAATACTATTTCAACATCGATATTTTCCAAGTTATTTATCTATATCCATTATGAAACGTGGATATAAGACATTTTTATTCTTATCACAACTAGTACACTTGTCATCGCACTATCAATTTGTACTCTTTACTTGCCATTTTTGTTTATGTTATCTATTCCACTGTTATCATTAACTCATAAACCATCGTGATCTGTTTAGTAATTTCGTATGTGTGTAGAGATATTATTGAATATTACAGTAAAGCCTAATGACGATCTAATTCAAAACAATATTGTTCGTTCAAATATGTGGTCTATTTTATTCTTAACATACATATTCATCGGTCTTTTTCTACTACTTGCCTAACAATTATTAAGTAACCGAAAAGATTCTTAACTGATGTCTAGATTTGAATAAATACTGATATAAGCTATCATATCTTATTTCAGAATGAAATTAGACTTAAAATTATAAACTATAGAGTAAGTACTTTTCAGACAGTCAAGTAACGCAGAATTGAGAAACACAAAAGAACTCAGTAAAATAATGCAAGATATTCTAATAATGAGGATAAATAAATTAAAATAGAATATCTGTATCATAAATTAATGAGTGAAAATGTAAAAAATAATCTGTTAGAATGATTAGTAGAATACATATTCCGACTATTTACAAACAATAACTTTCACTGGAAATTCTTCCATATTTAATAAACTACATGTTAAGGTTAAGCGTTCGCGCATGAGAACTACAAGTCCCGGGTTCAAATCTCACGAGGAGGGATCGTGGATGCGCATTGCTGAGGAGAACCACAAGAGGACGAAACGACCCTCCAGTAATTCTAGGTCTTCCATGGTGATCTAGCTTTAATTAACTCATGATCTCAACTATTAAAATTACTGTAATATCCACAAAAATCCCTTCTGATACTAAATTACATGTATATATAACAGATGAAATTACTGCATTGCCTATAGGCACTTGAGTTTACATTAGTCTATAAATTTTAGAAAACAGAATAAACGGAACTTTTACAATTGTATAACTTAATTCTTGGAACTAAATTAATTTTTCCTTATGGTAACTGACAAAAACTGAAATTAATTCATGAAGTAAACGTTAATGTTTTTATTTTTCTTTACAGAATATATCAGATAGATATGTCAAATAATAACCATTCGATTACTATTATTAATGAAAATATGTGCATATTTTATTTTGGTATTTGTTCATGCAACACTGATTTTGACAGATTACGTTTTTTCTTAATTTCGTTAAGTGAATTTATATAATTTTTGTGTGTTATCATGGGGAGAATTAAAATATTTGTTGCAAACTTTTCCTATGTATTTCATATGGTATGTTTTCAAAGCTAAAGGCAAATTCTTGGTGTATGTGTGTGTGTGTCTTTCTTTTTGAACATACCTCCAAAATTTAACATTCCAATCAGTTCACATTTTGTACACTTTTTTTCTCTTAAATCTGTTATATCATACATTTTTTTATATACTGTAACTGTAATTCATTCAGATATGAATATTACTGAATATAATTTTGTAATTTGAATCTTCCTCGTGATATTTAATGTCATTTCATGCAACAACAACAACAACAACAAAAATATGAAATTGTCCACTGATCAACTTTTACATTCTTCTTTTCTAGTATAATCTATCAATTTATACATGAATTGAAGTTCATGTACAAATGCACATGATTAGTTAGACGGATTTCACTTACCAGTTTTATTCTATTTTTCCTTATTTATTTAAAGATCAACAGTCCGTTTTTTTTTGAAATTTCACCTCTAAAAGAGTGAAAAGAAAAATTTAAGTATTATCTATGACAAATAAAAAGCTGTAATAGTAACTTAATTTCTAAAACGAATAATTTTTGTTTTCTAGTTGTTTGACATTTAGAATGTTCTTTATATATATCCATTTATATTTCTTTCAATACATTGTTTAATATAACAATCAGATATTTGTTAAAATATATATACTAATAAATTGACAATTTATTCCAATGAAACATAGTATATTAGCGGTCCTGAGTTAATAAATTAAAATTAAAATAACGCCAAATGTATTTTGTGGGAAATTTAAAATGCAGTATAATAGGTAACTTTTATGTTATTATTAATAAAGTTAAAATTAGCAACAATTAACTCTTAAAATGCTTAGAATCAATAAAACGATTCAATCATGAAACCAAAAAGAAAAAATAACTTAAAATGTTGTCTAAGCTAAATTACAAAACATACTTGCTCCTAAGATACATTTTATGGTAAAATACTAGATGTGATTTAACTACTAATCAAGCGCTTAGTGAAACTAGATAATATTCTCCTTCTTAAACTCTCAGTCTAAATTTCAACGCTAAGTTTCTTAAGTTTAGAAGCGAAAGGGTGAGAAAGCATTTGATTATAAATGTTGCCAGTTGACTATGAAAACGCTATGGAGTGATAACCCTAATTAACAACACTAGCGCGGTTTCTAATATGTGAACTTGAAGTTTCTTCTTTACTGTGTGACATATGAGGGTTGATTATTCAGATTGGAACTATTATTACACTGTTATTTTTATTGTTAACTGATTTATAACTACGTGGAGTTTCCTGATTGGCTGATAAATCGACCAATTTTGTCAGTTTGGTATACTTTTATCTAATTTCACCAGTTTTTATTTTCTAATATTTGAAACATTTTAACACGCCATTAGATCGTAAATAATTTTGTAAACTTGAACAACGTTCATAATTAAATCGAAATCAATTCGAGCGGATTTTTATTTAGCTTTACTTTCAACAACGTCTAACACCATACATCTGCATTACAACGGAAAACTAAACTCAAGCTACTTCAAGAATGACTTTGAAACTTTTATATCCATTAGTACCCGTTGAAGACATATATTAGTCCATTGAGGATTCTATTGACGAAAATGTACTAAACTTAAATACATCCAATATTCTTATATTTTTATGGATTTGTCAGGATAAAAAAACCAATATTCCAATCGTATAATTAAATCATGTTTTTTTTACTGATGCTTATCCATGAGATGCAAGATTAATTTCACTGTGGATGCTTTATATGTATGGAATCGGCTTATTCATATGACTTAATATTCTTTGTATGTTCTGTGTATTTGCATTCGTTTATGAGTCAATGAAGTTGACTATTTATTTCCCGATACTTTAGGAATATCTTTACCTCAAAGGATCACCTATCCAGTACATTAATTACAAAATATTTCCAAGGTTTGATTGTGGACAGACAAGGAGTTATCCCTAGTAAATTTGAACAGCCAAAAGAAAGTCTAATCTGGAATAGAACATATATAGAATAGCTTTGTACTTATACAATCTATAATCTTCACAATAGTACAGTATACTATTTAAAGTTAGTTAAACGTTTAGTCGGGCCCTTCATTTTGACGTTAATTAGATCGGACGATGTTATCGACGTGCTCAACACTTTAGTGACCAGGTATTTCACTCCAGTTAAATCGTATGAATGATTGTTGTCAAAATATACATCCTGGCTATTCTCGTATATTATTATTGACTTAAGTCGCGTTAGTGAGTAACAGAATTAAATAAGTCAAATAGGAGAATGAATGTTTGAGTACGTACATTTTGTACAGATTAATTTGAATGGAATGAAACGAAGTCAAATGACATGCAGTGGAGATGACATGTGAGCTAACTCCATTTAATCAAGCGTTAATCAATATTTATAGACAGATAAAGATAAGTTACAGGCATGTAATAAATAGGATAAGAAGTGTACACACATACGCTCATATAAAAGCAGTCAAGATTAATAAGTGAATAACTAACAAGGTCAAAAACGTGACACAAAAAGGACGGATAAATTGACCTGTCCAGAAGCTAGAAAAAATTATATGGGCTTAACATAGTAATTGATACTACAAAAGCGTCTTATGTAACGTAGAATGGTACTCATAAACTGACAGATAATCAATAACCCTTTTAAACTTTGTTGTGAGAATAAAATCCAGTTTTTCAAATATGATGATCAATTATATGTTTCATGTGTTTTGAATTATGTTAATCAATAAAACATTATTGATTTATAAAATTTGGAATTGAATTTTTGTTATGATTTCAAGCATTACGAAAATGAGCGCAGTGAAAAGTGATATTGGTTCACTTTGTTGACATGCTACATAGTAGGTAACAAATTAGTACAGTAGTAAATTGGTGATTAGTTTTATATATATATATATATATATATATATATATATCAAGCAAAAGATTCATCTTTGTTAAATCGTGCATATTTCATGAAACCAAATAACTGAGTGATCAAAACTTTATTTCACTTAGCTTGTAACGTCAGTATTTTATTGATCCATTTACAAAAAAAACACAATCTGAATCATTGAAGAAATTTGATAACTTAGCTAAAATATAATAATAACTATGATTATTTGCTTACTACGCAATAAGAATCACAGTTAGTCATTATTATATTCATTATGGAATAAATAAAGAATGATAAATGTATTTCCTGTTGTTACTCACCACTTAATATACTTATTCTGGTATGGCATTTTATTGACATGTTAAATAATAATGTTAATTATTGGATAACACTTTTTGCATATCATCATCATTAGAATTAATTACACTTTAATTACATGTAGTAAAATATGGCAAACATATTCCATGTAAAGTATTGTTTCATTATTTTTAGTTAAAAGTCAATTATAATTAATGTGATTATATTATAGAAAGTACAAGTAATTAATAATTGATTTTTTGAACATTCTAAAATCATGCTGTGCAATACAGTACATACACATTGTATTTTTTAAAAGATTGAGATTAAAATAATGGAATGCTGGTGAAATTAGATCAGTCTTGTAAAATATATGCCAAATGACTGTTATTATAGTAATAATAAACTGTGATGATTAGAAGTATTTGAATTATTATACAAACTAGGGATTTCCGAAATAATGCAATTTAAAGCAAGTGGAACTAGATGAGCACAAATGAATGTATTGTATTAGCAGTCCGAAATCAGGTAGACATCAAGTACAAAAGAATTATTAGTTCAAACAAACACCACATTCTCCATAGCTTAAATGAGAATTCAGATTTCTGCAATCAACTGTATGTCTCCTCTTTATGTTCATCATGTGTCTGTCAGATTGTGTATTGGATGTAGACAATGTTTATGATCTAGAATATACTCATTCGTATTAGAATAAACAATTTAAATTGGAACGGACTCATCTGGGTCCTGAAATTGTATGTGATCAGCATGTTGGTTGTGTACTTAAATCACTAATATCTAGAATTCGAACCGTAGACTTTCCAACGCTATCCTCCCCATGAAATAACGTAGGATCCTTATGTCCCAATGTCATGACCGATTCGACGTTCCCAAATCGCATTATCTTCTCATATCTCAACTTCGATACACATTAACATATAATTTGACGTATTCCATCATATGACTTTGACTTGCATAAAAAATATGATACATATTCATTTAGCTTTTAACGTTAGAATACACAAGACCATTGTCCCAGCTATCAAATAAATATGCATTGACATGTGTAATTAACACATGTGGTTCATCTAAGCTTGATACACCTGCAAAACAATCAAATGGCATATATACACCTGTCTCATACTCATAAGGATAATCTTGGACTCAATTTGAATTTTCTGCCTGTACAAACTTCATATCTGGGCAAACTAGTTTTTTTGACTGCTACGAGAAAACTTGCTATTCCCTCTGATTCATCATATGAGTGACTAGAGATTCTACTGGATATACATTGGTTGTGAGAATATCCAATATTATATACAATAATATCAGAAATGTGACTAGAATTCGATTCATTCGGAACATATTTGTCACATTCATTAGGAATATCACTAAAGATAAATACATTGTGAGGACAAATAACATCTGATGCGACACCATAAGAACTGTAACCAGATTTTAACCCATTTAAAACTTGTTCCTCACATTTAATTGAGATTTCACTGGAAATAAATGAATCATTAGGACAAACCACATCTGATAAAATAAAATCGGATTTCTGATCAAAATTCGGTGTACTTGATATATCTTCCACATATTTGTAAATAATTTCATTATGAATACATGAATCATTAAAACAACGCATATCTGGTAACTTAATATCGTGAAGCTGATCAGTGTGATTCATTTGAAACATTCAACTTGATAGGATAGGGATTACAAAGTTTAGCATTAATTGCAGCGAAATAAACAGTAATATTGCAAACTGCTTATGTGTCCAATTTTACCACATTCAAAGCATTACGAAATACACGTGAATGACATGGACGAAATTTTCCATAAGACAAACATTTACCAAACTTCTGCTCATCCTCGAGAACTGCATAGCAACTCCTAAATGAATTGTTTACCGAATAACCTTGATTATGCATTGGATTGGGATGACATGGTAAAGTAGTGGAATTCGAAATTTGCAAACTTTACATGGTCTAGGAAGTGAAATCGGCTTATCCGGAAATGCCAACGTTTTTAATAAGCAGTAGGCTTCTTTCCTGATGAATGTAAGGAGATGAGCCACAATATTCACATTGTCAACATCTTGCTTTGTCAAAGTCCAGACTTTGAACCTTTCTATATAATCCTCAAAAGCATCAAAATTTGAATGTATGTCCAATTGTTCCATCACAGGCTCCATCGCAACGCCAATGTGATATAAGTATTTGAATTATTATACAAACTAGGAATTTCCAAAATAGTGGAACTAGAAGAGCACAAATGA